TTTACAGATTATCCACAATGCACCCAGAAGACATGTGCTAATGGAGCCTGTTACAATAACTCACAGCACTGCAATGGACTACAGGACTGCAGAGACGGATCAGATGAGACCAACTGCAGTGCGTAGACTAAAATCAGCACCATTCTATTTTTTGATAGGCTACAGATAGATGGATTAGACATGAAACCCTTTGAAGGAACTCAATAGTTTAGCCACATAGGACTAGACCAAACACAAAAACATTACCTTTAAAGTAGAACTAGGCCTGTCTATATGTAATATGATTAACACCACTAACTTAAAGGACAAATCTTTTTAGTGGAATTTGGGACAATGTCAGATAATTGGTCATCTTTTATTGAGATATATTTGTGAAGAAAAAAGCTCAAACAACAAAATACTAAATTCTTAAAATCAGATTGTAATTGCCAGTCAAAGCATGAGGATTATTGATACATTTTTATGCAGTAATCATGACATTTCCTTTAAGCAGAAAATAAAGGACATTATTAACTGTTTTTTTATGCTTATCCATCAAATTAAATCAGAGACATTGATCTGCATTAATATTTCAGCATTCATGGGAGCCCCCATAAATCCCAAAGCACCGGATTACTTTACTTTTCCCTTGGGTTGGCACTAAGGCATATTAAAACAAGATGGTTTGATTCTTTTCACCTGTAAAATATTTAGTACAGAACATATTAAAGAGTCTGAATAGCTTTGGGGAAACCAAGGAAGCAATAAATTCTGTGTGCCAAGTCATTATGAACTGGGCTTGGTTCTAAAAATGCTCAAAGAAGTCCTAATATTACTCAAGGATGAACTTAAGGAAAACCTATCTATATGTGCACCATTTATCTGATGTTTATAATGTTTAATAAGTTAAATAGTAGTTTAATCTGTTATTAAAAGGCTCTTTACATTTTCTTTTTCAGCCACTGAACACTGTCCACTCCACCAGTTTGAGTGTGCAAACGGCTTTTGTATCCCAATACCGTTTGTGTGTGACCACTGGAATGACTGTGGGGATGACAGCGATGAGCAAGGCTGTGGTAATTAACATTTTTAAATATAAGAAATAGCAACATTTGCCAATCAACCCACTGAAACCTGTTAAACATCTCCAAATCGCAGAATACCAAAGCTGCAGTGGAAACCAGTTCACTTGTTCCAGTGGCCGCTGCATTCCTCAGAACTGGGTGTGCGACAAGTTCAACGACTGTGGAGATTTCAGTGATGAGAGGGGATGTGGTGAGAAGCATCTGGACTTCCATTTGGGCTTAACTGACTCTTTTGAACATAGCATTGTCCAAACCTTTCTGGGTAGATTATTGTAGGATTAAACAATCAGAAATACCTTTAAACCACTCTTACCACCCTACCTAAATAACCTTTAATTTCTAATGCACAGGTAAATAGAATATGCCTCTGGTTAAGAAATTCTGTCAAATATTGTTTCTGGAATATTCATTATCTTAATTCCAGCTCTTTTTGTTGAGTCTCAAATGGTGTTTTTTTATTAAATGTGCCATAATTTTAAAATAAACTGTCCATGTTCGATCTCCCTTGGCAAAGTAGTTTCTGAGGTGTACAGGTAGTCGTCAAAAACATTGGAATACCTTTCCTTTCTTTTATCAAAGACAGGAGAACTCTTGTATATATTATTGAGTAATTATTTAAAAAATACAGTTGATCATTTTTTTCATTTCAAAACTTGAACTAGAGCAAATCATTTTGATAATTTTCGTAATATTAATGCAATTGTCCTTTAATTAAATAAAAAAATTGTTCCAATGTAAGAATCTTGCAATATAACAGTTATAACCCATGGTTAAATAGTTTAACAGCTGATAGTTTGATCTAACACTAAGTAGTGTTGCACTGATACCGATACTGCACTAATAGGGCACCGATACCAGTTTGAGAGCCAAAAGTTTATTCAACTATTTTCAACCATTCCAGGTAGGCAATAAAAAGTTCTACTGGATTCATTTTATATTAGTCTTTTTCCTGCTTCACAAAGGTAGGCAGCAGCTTGACAAAGCCATGATGGCAATTATTTTACATCCAAGCAGTATGCAGTTCTTCATATATACACACAAACACATCAATTTCAAACAGATGATATCGGTAAGTTATCAGTATCGGCCGATACTGCACAGCCAGATATCAGGTATCGGTATAGGGGCCAAAAAAGGGCATCGGCACAACACTAACATTAAGTAAAATGTAGCTTTTACTCTACGCTACTTTTTCCTCATATATCTGTACTTATGTAAGGTTTTTGGGCTTTCAGATAGTGACTCACGAGACTGTTACCCTGGTGAGTGGGGTTGCCCAGGATCAACAGCATGCATACCATTCAATCAAGTGTGTGATGGTCAACCAGACTGTCCTGGAGGAACAGATGAGACCAACACTACAGCGGAGCAAACGTGTGGTAAGTTCAGGAATGGAGATTGGCGGGAAAAAAAAGAAAAAAATACTGGCAATACACTCAGGATTCCTATGCAGTCTGATAAACCATAGAAAAATATTAAGATAATACAATATGATTTAAAATTAAGGTAAGTGTAAAAAAATAAATGATTAGCAATGTGTAATTCCAGACTTTACTTTCCAATCCACTCTTTAAAAGCTTTATTCATTCATCCATCCATCCATTCGTGAGAATGTTGTACAGATTCAGCACATTCCTTTGGTGGTAAACCCAGGTGCTGAGGTTTTAAACATGGCGTACTAAACTCATAACCTATAATTTTGTAAGATCATAATGTAATCACAACTATCCTCTTAAATTCCCAGCATTTACACACTCTCAGTTTAAGATTAACATTTGTTGGTTTGCAGTTCTCTGTAAATTCTGACAATAATTCTGGTTATGCTGACGTTCTTGTGATAATGTTCTCTCTTATCTTCTTCCACAATGATAAAGGACCTATAAAAGGAAACAGTAGCCAGAACTAGATTTGGACATAATGTGGACCTGTTTCTTTTTTATTCTCAGGGCTAGACCGATGCTCTGCACTGAGCTGCGAGTATCTCTGCCACCCTTCTCCTCAGGGTGGTGCATGTTACTGTCCTGAAGGATTTATAGTAGCAAATGACAGCCGTTCCTGTGAAGGTGAGTCACATGTCTTATTTATATGTGTAGATTCCACCACTCTAAAGAAGAAATTAATCAATCAATGCACCCCTGATAACACAGAAAGCTATTCTGCTTTGGTCTGTTCATTTAACCCATGAGTCAGCATTAAACAGTTAAATTTACAGCCTTAATTTCACAGTTCCCTGGTTATAGATCTTCTCTATCAATCCTTAATGAGTTAAACGTTTAATATGTGTGCTCCCCTCCACAGATTATAATGATTGTGAGATCTGGGGGATCTGTGACCAGCTCTGCGAGGACCGTCCTGGGACACACCACTGTAGCTGTGCAGATGGATACTTCTTGGAACAGGGTCACCTCTGTAAAGCCAATGTCTCAGGTACATCAACATCAGATCAAAGGTTTTTATAAAACATATGTTTTAGACCAGTGTTTTTCAACCCTGGTCCTCGAGGCACACTGCTCTGCATGTTTTGGATGTTTCTGAGCTTCAGCACACCTGATTCATATGACTGCAGTTCAGCAAAGCCTGATAATCTGCTATCAATTGATAACAGGTGTGTGAAAGCTGGGAAACATCTAAAACATGCAGGGTAGGGTGCCTTGAGGACCAGGGTTGAAAAACACTGTTTTAGACCATAAACTCAAGATCCAATGACAACAAGTTGTAAATTTGTTGTACTGCACTCTGCGAATGAAGTTCCAAGAGGTTAGAAAGAAATTCAAAGGCCTTTAGCATCATACATCCTTTACTATGCTTATCAACAGTTAAGCCGGTGTACCTATTACACCTTTTATTTTTAGCTGGAAGCAATTTTTGCTGACGAAAATGTTTAAAATGCCCCATATTTCACACATTTTTCCAACCTTATGATTGTTTGTGTGCTTCTAGCTGGGCTGCCACAGCTCATTTTTACCAACGGGGGTGATGTGATGATGGCTGATGTTCATGGACGCTTTGCCAGAACTCTGGTGCCAGCACAGGGCAGAGGTTATGCTGTTGGGGTGGCCTACAACTATCGAAGTAATTTAGTCTTCTGGAGTGATACAACAACCAAAAAGGTCTGTAGGTTCATCTTCAATACCATTTAGATGACTGCAAATATAAGGTTCATATGTTTAGAGCTTTAACTTCAAATCCTTTTTTTAGGTTTATTCAGCTAGCTATGACGGGGGAAACATCAAGGAAATTCTAACCACTGCAGTCCCAAATGTCCAAAATCTTGCAGTGGACTGGATCAACTTAAAACTTTATGTCTTGGATGGCACTCTGGAGAGAATTGATGCATGTGACTTTGATGGAGACAACCGAGTCACGTTGGTGGCTGAAAACCTGGAGACTCCTCATGGACTCGCCCTGGATCCAACAATGGGGTGAGTTCAAATGCTTTAGTCAAATAAAACCACATTCATTGTCGGGTTGAAGCTGAGGCTCGTGGCTATTTTGGGGAATTTATAAAGATACAATGAAAGGGATATGCAAAGATAACAGACAGATATCATCTTATTTCTTGATGTCTTGCTCCATGAGATACCTTGATGTATTTGTTGTTTTCTTCTGTTTGCAGCTACATGTTTTTCACAGACAAAGGTCTCAGCCAGGAGAAAACCAAGCTCGAGCGTGCCTTCATGGATGGCAGTAATCGCTTCGAGCTCGTCAAAAAAGGGCTTGGCACACCCACTGCCCTCACTCTTGACATTATAACAAAGAGGGTCTACTGGTCTGACAGCCACTTTGACACAGTGGAGACTGTCACATACAATGGTCTGGACAGGTAGGGTTTGTTTGTTCGTTTGCTTTTATTACAATCTTAGGGGGGAGCCAATCTGCCTGTTTTGTTCTTGATCTAACTCCTAAAATGTTTATTCTTTTTCAGGAAAATGGTCCTCAATGGTGCAACACAGTCTCCACATCCCTTTGGGATGACTGTGTTTGAAAACCATGTCTTCTTTACTGACTGGAGCAAGATGGGGGTGATCAGATCCAATCGGTTCAATGGCAGCAATCCAACCCTCCTCTATCGTACAGCCAATCGGCCAGGACACGTTGACATTTCACACCCTGTCATGCAGCCTCTCGGTGAGAAGATACACATTCATATATGTTCATGTTATAACATGCGATACAGGAAACTGACATTCCGATGATGATAGGTGACTAACAATGATCCAATATATCTTTTGTTGCAGTGATGAACCCATGCGGTAAAAACAACGGGGGTTGTCAGCATATTTGCATATTAAGTCACCGCACAGATAATGATGGTTTGGGTTTCCGATGCAAGTGTCGCTATGGTTATGATCTGCAGGCTGACCGCCAAACCTGCTTTAGTGAGTTTCTGGTTTCCCTTACCCCTGATTTCCCAAAATCTTTCAGGTTTTGCTTATTCAACGTGAAACTGCAAGAGAAAATTTAAATAAATAACTTCCAAATTTCTCCAATTATTTAATGTTCATAATTGAAGGGGATTTTTGTTTTGTTGGCCTAGAATGTTATCTGTCCCTTCTTTGTGTAACAACAACAACAACAAAACATTTTTGCATTTTTGGTACAGAAAGCTCATAAGTCATTTAGGGAAAATGAAACTGCTGTTAAATGAGAAGCTAGAAACAAGAAAAAAAGAAAAGCTGGCATCATCAGTGGATGCTTCCTTAATTAAAAAAAAAATCTAAATAACCAAATATAACTTACTTAAAGAAAACACTAAATTCTGTACATAGATAATAAAAAGCGGTAGGTCAGTGTGTTTTGGTTTTAACCACAGCCTTTCTCTTTCTACAGAGGTTAAGGACTTCTTGTTGGTGGCCTCCTCTTTGGCCATACGTGGAATCCCTCTGAATTTATCTCTCCAGGAGGACATCACTCTTCCTCTGAATGGATTAGCATCCTCCTTTTCTGGCTCCGCCGTGGAATTTGATGGCAGTGAGGAGGCCGTGTTTTACAACGACAGGGCCAAAGGACTCATTTACAAGTCAAACCTCAATGGCACTGGTAAGTTTATGAGATATGTTGTGTTGCGCAAATCTTGTTAGTGTTTTGGTGCCTTCCTTATACTCATAGACTTTTAATACCATCAGTTCAGCAGATTTTGACTGGATACAGAGTGGGATCTGTTGATGCGATGGCTTATGACTGGACCTCCAAGGTTTTGTTCTGGACCACATCAACGTACAGGGCGGTGGTGGCCTTCAGAATCACAGACAAGTCTAGAAGGGACATTGTTACCGGGCTAAGATATCCAAAGGGTATTGCAATGCATCCAAGCGCTGGGTGAGTGCTTCAAATGATGAAAACCATTATTGAAAAACAGTTTGAGCAAATTTACCTCACATTGACTTTTACAGATCTACAGTGCTTTGTAGAAGTATTGATAACACTTGAATTTTCTTACATTCTTTAAATGTTTATATTATGAAAATATTTAATTTATCACCTACATTCATATAGGTGGAACCACCCAAACAGCAGATGTCATTTTTATGCTTTTCATCCTAAATCTAGTCGGTCCATCATAATCTTAAATTTAGTCCAGAAATAGTTGTTGAAAATTGGTTGTGTTTGGTCGGTCTGTCCTACTTCAGTCCAATAATAGACATTAAAAAGACGTTGCAAACACAGTTTTCAACGTCTTGTCTATGATCTGAAAACTGTGGTTTTTCACTTTTCAACCAAATATAGACGTCGTTTGGACATAAATCCTGTCGTGTTTTTGTTTTGGTGGGTACATTTTGTATGAAGTTCCTCACTTCTGATGCTTTCTGTGCTACTCATAATCTAAGCCACACATCAGCGGTGGGAACTCTAGTCATTCAGCTTTCTGTACCTTTAAGATGTGTCCTCAGTCCAATACACCTGAATCAATGCCTAAATTACCTCTTCAGTATGTAGACAATTTCTGCAGAGTCCTGATTATCAAGTATTTGATTGGGTGTTGGAACAAGAACACATTTATGCTAGAGGATTCTGGACCTCTAGGACTGGATTTGTCCACCCCTGCTTTACATGAAGTTGAAAGCGTGCAGCTCTGGAGATTCTTTAGTTAGGACAGCAAAGCAGTTTAGAGTTACACAGGGAATATTGTTGGAGGAAAATTCAGGGAAATCCTGGAAAAAAAACAGCTAAAGGCTGCAAAATACATCAGTAAACCAGGAAACTAAACACTGGTGCTGAGATTGACCTCTTATCAGAAAAACAACCATAAACATGGTTTAGACCAAAAAATGTTCCTGCATTGTAAAACCCTGGCCAGACCCTAAATCTCATCAGAATACAGCAAGATTTAAAAAAAGAAAATAATTTACACCGATTCTCTTGATCTGTTCTGACAGACAACAATTTTTCTTTTCCTGTCCTTTTATTGCTTAATTAAATGTTTTCCCACAGATATTTGTTCTGGTCTGACTGGTATCGTCCGGCAGTCATAATGAGAGCCTACCCTGATGGCAGCAATGCCATTCCTCTGGTTAACACAACACTGGGGAGCCCTTATGGACTCGCTCTTGATTATGTGTAAGACACCAATAATATATTTTGTTTATCTGGTCACCTCCAGCTATTTCTTCTCAAATAGGGTGAATAAGACCTGCCATACTTGCATGCGATCACTAATGTCACCAAGGGCTTAGCTGTGGTTTCTGTTTTCAGAATGGACAGGTTGTACTGGGTGGATTCCCTCCTCGATCAGGTTGGCCACATCAGCATTGAAGGAACTGACAGACAGACATTTACCAGCATCGGGCAGATCACCCAGCCATACTCTTTGACAGTTTATTCAGGTGATCTTATAAACTGCAAGAAAATGTTTCTTAAAATATGGTTCATGGTGTAACAAATACAACCGTATGCTGCAATTACAAAGACTCAGAAATTAAGTCCTTGAGATATACTTCCTGATGTGAAAATGTGACCTATTTACCAATTGATCTTCATAGTAGCCTGATCTTATTGTAAATATATATATATATATATATATATATATATAT